GTGACAGTGTTTCCTGATCGTAGTGGTGCGCCTCTGAGGATGATTCTTTTGAATCGAAACATGTAAGGTGAATAAAGACTGAAATGTTGTAAACTTGTATGTTAAACTGGACTGAAAATTATCCACTTTGTAATTAATAGTGTGATGGACCAGAATGAGACAAATCAAATTAATATAAAATATCATTTATCTTTCCTTGCATCTGCATGTACCAGCTCTGGATGAAGTCCACTGGGTGGAGAAACTGCCTTTCAATCTCTGCTTCATCAACACATTTCAATTTCACACATTAGCTTTCAAGAAATAAATAGCTCTTATGAAATGTTAAAAACTAAAACAAAATTCTGTAGCAATCTGCCATTACTGTTTCATATATGCATTTCTTAACCAATCACTTTTCAATATGAAACATTCCAGTTCTGATATACCAACTGCAACAACAAGACTCGTTTCACTGAAATACACTGTACCTCCATTACTGTTCTGAGACATAATAGTAAATTACCCAACTAAACTTCTACTTATACTTACTCTGTTTATGAAACTACAACATTACCAGCCTTTAACAAATGGATGTTCCAAAGCTTCTGATGCTGTAATCCTCGTTTCAGGGTTCAGATCCAGAAGTCGTTCCAGAAGATGGTATGCAGAGCTCGGATATTCCATCTCCAAATCACAGTTGTTGTTGTTTGAAGATTGTGGTGACTCATAAGAATCACTGGGTGAAAGGCACAGACATCCATTCAACTCATCTATAACCTGCATGCACTCTGAACAGACAGGGGTCCCTGGAGGTATACCTGGTCGTCCCGCCTTTCGGTGGCGACGCAAACGCTCACAGAGCTTCCTCAGATTCATTGCTTTCTTCTCCACACTGCACGTTACCAAGCGGCCTGAATGAAACAGAAACAGTACTGCCAGTTTACATAAGAGGTCTATACGCATGATACCTCCTGCATAAGCCCTGGTTACTGGAGGGTAGGACTGTTGTTAATACAGGGCTAATATAAATGATTCATTCGTTTTTAAAACGTTATATTTTCCAAAGCATTATACGTACAAATATGATTGATATATAAAAAGAACCATAAACTCACCAAGTTTTCTTCATAGTCTACAAATGTTCTATGTGTGCCCCTTGGGTCACACGACACACGTCGAGGTGGTAGATGAGCTCGTTCCACACATTTTGTAGCATCATCCTGTCAATGGTCATCACTGCAGCATCGATGCGTTCCCTCAGCTCTACTAGTGTTCTTGGCAGTGGGGGTACATAAACACGATCCTTAATGTGCCCCCAAAGGAAGAAGTCACAAGGCGTTAGAACAGGTGATCTGGGGGGCCAAGTGAACAGAGGTATGTCATCCTCACCAAAATGCCCAATCCAGAGTGTCCTTAAATTGTCGATACCACCGCAAAATGCTTTGTTTACATGGCGGTTCTTTTCCGTACTCTCTTTTGAATGCACGTTGCACTGCTATAACAGACGAATATCTCGCATATTCCAACAAACAAAAACTCTTTTCTTGCTTTGTTGCCATTTTGTAAAGGCACTGAACTCGTGATGCCAGCTGGTGCATATAATACAAACTTGGTGAGTTTACGGTTCTTTTTATCTATCAATCATTCTGTACGTATAGTACTTTGGAAAATATAGCGTTTTAAAAACGAATGAATCATTTATAGTAGCCCTGTATATAAATTTGGCAATACATACACAGACAGATCCATGATTTCATTTACAGCCTCGTTACCACCTTCATGAAAAGTTAAATAGTTCCCTGGTGTGACTGGTGAAGATTTTTCTTATTTCAATTATTTATGCCCTTACATGTTTCGGTCTTCAGAGACCATCATCAGAGGGACATCTTTACATCAATACAGTTGGAAATTACTATTACAATAAATGTTCTGAATGTTAAAATATATACATATAATATTAATAATATATAATTGGGTATAAAATCTAAAGTTTTTACAACTACAGCGGCTGTTACAATACATTAAAATATTTGTAATTGGTTTGTTAAAATTATATTGGAATTTATAAACCAAGTTGGTTCGTGTCGTCTTTCTTATTATTTCTCTTGATGGTGGCCGAAAATGTGCTGCCTTGTCGTTCTCGAGAAAAGGGTTCTTTGATGTTGTTCTGTATGTGTTTGTGGCACACTGTGTTGTTTTCACCAGTAGACGGCTTCCTTCCAATAAGACTTAAACATACTGCTGGTTGGATCCAACTGGAGGTCTCATCTATGCCCAGATGTTTCCAGAAACCATTTTACTTAATATTGCAGTACAGTTGAAAATGGTGTCTTCCAACATACAAGCACATTTCACACTGATGTAAGAAATTCCTTTACGATTCAACAATTTCTTGTATTATAAATTAGAAAGAGCTGCACTGCTCCAGTGACCAAGACTAGCTCTTTCTGACTGGTATGACTGGGCATGAACCACTCCTCCCTTACACCTGACGTAGCGAATGCATCGAATTTCAGTTAAGTAGCAACACCTAATAATCAAGAGAGGCATGTGAATGAAATTAGATTCTAAAGGGTTCTGATGATGGTGTGTAACACTCAGAACTACTGGGTTTTTTTTTTTAATTTTGTTCAACATCCAGTATTCTAAAGAACACTAATGAACACAACAATTCAGAAAATGGATCTGCTTCTGTCCTCACTGTCCAGCAAATGAGGTTAGCTCTATCGGACCCATCAGAATAGGTGTCTCCCACTTCCTCATCTGAGGCGGGAAACAGATCCACTTTCGAACACATTTGTTCTTTAGTGCTCTTTAAAATACCAAATGATGGACAAAGTTCAAAAACCCAGTAATTATTATAACAGAAGAATTCATTACAGTCTATTTCACTTACAATTCCTTCTGCTGAACATGCCTGTTTAGGTGTACAATGTATACTTTCAATGGCTTGTCGTTTTAAGTGGGTAGCATGCTGCAGCAGTAACTCACCCAGCTTGACAGCTAGTTTCTTTATTCTCTCTGTACCAAACAATGTCATGATCTCTGCCAGCGCACTCAGATCATCGGGTGAACGGAAGAAAGGATAGCAACCGCTGAGAATACAAAGCAGGATGATTCCAGCAGCCCACATATCAACAGCTGCAAAAACAATCCAACATCAGGCCCTCTACATTTCACAAATTCACTGTGCACAAAATCTGATTCAAACACGACCTCAAGAGACATTGAAATTTTGCATTGCTTCGCAGAGTATACACAATAAGTTGAGAGAGCAAACTTCATCTAATGGCCATGAGACAGTCGTTTTTCACTCAAAATGAAACTTCACACATCAGATGGTTCCATTTCATAACTATTTCTAAGAAAAGCTGTAGTATTTTGCTACGAAACACTTAGATGGTATATATAATACACTCTCAAGATGGATATCTTTATGAATAAATGAGTTTTAGTAAATTTACCCTATTAGATTTATAGAAAAAACAATTTCAATTTTAAAACACGACATCAAGCACTTAGCACCAACGGATGCCTGTCATTAAAATCTGACAGTATCTTATCAACAATAAACACCATACCGACAGATATTCAGATCATAATGCCGCCCACATAACATTCATTACCTGTTGTCTGTAGAGGATACTTGAGGAGTACTTCAGGGGGTCGAAAACCTGGAGTGCCTGCTCTCGGAGCTGCCTGCACTTTGCGAGCCATACACACAGAGCAAACTCGTGGCTTTCCATAACAGTGGCACTGTCGGGTCATTGGCATCTTAGAATGCACCTGGGTTACAGGCGATGGCTTCGAAAACACAAGCTTTTTCTGTTGTTGTTGGTGTTGCGAAGATAACGGTGGATTTACTAGATGAGATTTAACCTAAAACAGTGTATCTCAAAACATAAAAAAATATGTTACAATAATATAACTAAACAACTAACTTCATGAGGCAGAGTCCTTCTTGAAAATGTCGAGAAATTCTCTGCCTCTTCTGGTATCTGAGTGTTCATTATCACATTTACAAAAACCCACCACTGGTCCTTAAGGTAAAGGTGAAGTTATCCCTGTGCTTAATTAATTAAACACTATGACATAAAGACAGATGAGGGAATGCAGATATAGCTACACCAATCTTGACCTCGGCATTAGGAGGAAGTGAGGAGTCAGTTTCATGCCCTGACTGCTTTATGCCAGTATGGTATAGGATGTTGGGTGGGCCTCAGAACCAGTATGGATGCTATGAGGAAAGAGATAAATACGTTGTCCCTGACCAATGTCCTTATCACAAGCCAAGCAAATGCAATTCCACATGCTCCCACCCTATTTCATTAAGATCCATTTTAATATTATCCACACCTAGGTCTTCCAATATATCCTTTCCTTTAGGTTTTTCAGACAGAATTTCCTACAGCTTTCTCACCCCCCAAAAAAATCAATATTTACAGAAATGACAGAAATACAATAAACTGAAGTAACATATTGCGAATTAATTTTTTTTTTTTTACTTTCACAGAACATTCTACTCTGCTTTCATGGTATGAAACAAATTCTAACACCATAAACAACGAAACCATATTTAAAAATTAGCTGTACCTGTGAATTTTGCACCCGTACAAAGCTGGGGCCATTGGGTGTCTGTGGAGCCAAAGTCTGAAACTTAGGTCCATCCAAATGGGTGCCACTGGAGATCTTTGGTGAGCCAGCAGGGAACAACTTCTTCTTGATGGTGTTATGCTTCATACTGATGTCACCATCTTGCAGTGGAGAGCGAATTCCTTCGTTCTGCAGAACCTTGTGTCGTGGGGTCTTTCTGCTGTGTGGCGGTGTGTTCTCATTCTTTGTATGAAGAACCTGGTAATGAGAAATTTAACCATTTCTTCGATTCTAAGATTTCAGTGATGCAGGTTCATATTATAGTCTTCTGGTTTATGACACCATGTACTCTGGTAGGAGAATATTAACATTTCATAAGATATGGCTTCAACTTCAGGATGAAGATGGATAAGACATGATCCTCAGAAACATACAGTAGGTACCAACCTACAACATTACATCACACCATAACCCACAAGACCAGAACACATACCATTTGTTTCATACCATACAGAACAAGAAACTGCTCTAAAGAGTATACATCTCTAAATAAACTTATTCACATGGGTTTACAAATCTTCTTTATTTTATTTTATTTGCACAGAGCATATTATAAGTAAAACCAGAGTGTATGTATTGTACCTTCTAAACATGGTGTGATTTGCTGCCTCGCTGAGCCTGTTGCTCACTTGCCGTCAACATAAATATACTGTTGCAACACTATCATATTACAGACAACACTGCACAAAGTAGTCATAATTCATTTTTTTCATGCACTTTTTTTTTAAATACACACTGTATCAAAATTCTTTTAAATAAACATTATACACTTTAAGAAATGCATACTTTATGCATGTAGCAATATTTTGTACAACCAACCATTTTCAGCCCCAAACGGCTGTTTGGGGCTGAAACATGTAGTGTATAAAGAAGAACAAAAAGAAAGAAATTATACCTTATACTAATTCTAACTTCTTAATCCTCAGAAACATGTAGTGTATAAAGAAGAACAAAAAGAAAGAAATTATACCTTATACTAATTCTAACTTCTTAATCCTCAGAAACATGTAGTGTATAAAGAAGAACAAAACAAAAGACCTATAAATATAGTTTGCACTTAGGACGGAGTTATATCATACATCGTATAAAGTGCAACAGGATGCTTAAATATAATATTGTATAATTTCTGCATAAATCCCTACTTAGGGTAATACAAACCATTCCCATTGAGATTCATTATATAGGAATTTCACTGTATTATGCTTACCTTATTTCTTGAAGGAGACAAGCCCAGTTTATGAATATCATTCTCAGGCCCACACTTCCTATTGCTACCTGTTGCTTCCGAAAAACTGTAGCTATGCGGCGTGTCATTCTTGGAAATGTTTGCTATGTTGCTCTCGTTTGTCCGTGGCTGAAGAGCCAGTCGCTTACGTTTCTGGATGACTGGAGTGTCCATGCATTTAGAACTGCTCAAGCTCTTGTCTTCCTAACAGAGCACAACATTTAAACTATGTCATTACAGATCACTAGGAAGTCAAACAGGAACCAAATAAAATCAAAACAAAAATATATGTAAGACTCTTGTCGTCTGCTTAACAGAATATCTTCACATTCATGCTGCCATACTTTTGGACCCAGTAAATATTCTACAGAACACACACAACACAATTTCCTTCATTAATTTGTTTTTATTGTCAGCTGATTCACAGGATATAAAATAATACTCAAACAATTAAGAGGGTACTTAGTGTCAACATGTATGTCAAAATAGTAAGGATGGAAGTCTATTTCAAGGTCCTACTTGCAATATCGCCAAAGGCTTGAGAAAATGCCATTAAAATTCTGAGTGTGGACAATATTCAAAACTGACTTACTGACACAACTCAGGCACATTACAGCAGTGCCATTTTGTTGCCTTTTTTTAATCCCATAAAAAAAACAAAACCATGAAAATCCCTCCAATTGTAACTGCAGACATGATTCTGCCAAAAAAAAAAAAAAGGAAAAACAGCACTGTAATAACATATTTTCACACAAATTATATACTCCATAGACATTTTTTTACATACTGTACATGTGAATTTTAACATTTTCTTTTTATATTTAAAATTCAAATTATCTGGTCTTAAACTAATATAATTAGTGTTCGTTGAGAATATCCTAATTATGAAATAAATGCTTTATTTATTTTTTTGTGGAATATTACCTCCCAGCCTAGCTATTTCTTTTAGAACACCAGTATTTTTCAGCATTTCACTGTAAAGAAATGAATAGCAAATAATGTACACACATCCATCTTGTCAAGCCATGTTACTGTCTGACCTTGATTGGATATGGTAACCTGGACAAAGCCCCAGTAAATGACCAATCTCAGGCATAGGAGGAAAGCATTAAATGACACTCCTCTATTTATATTTACCTCTTCACGTTTTCTTTTTTGTGGACATAACGTTGGTTCTGAATGAGTATCAGTCATTGGAAGATCAGTTGTTACACACTGGGCTAGACCAAAGTCAACCAATAAAAATCTGTAACGAGAGAAAGACCATATAAGTATTTAGTTAACATACACATAATTCTGGGCTCATTAGCCACAGATCTACTGTCATAACTGTAAGATATCACAGTGTAGACAAAATAAGTTCATTTTTACTACTGTTCACTGTGACACCACTTCCTTATGAGAGATATGAATTAATCTAAAATTATTCTCTGGCTACAATTAATTCATGCATAGGTTGAAAAACTATCACAAACAAGTAGTTAGTTCCCCTGCTTTGTATTGTAGACAATGGTTTGGATTGGTAAGTGGGTTTACTGAACACTTCTAACTTGTAACTAAAGGTAACTCTAAGATTTCCACAGATATACACACACTGCAACACACATAAAGTCTTCTGTGTCTTCATCAGGCATTGCTAGGTAATGGATCCCAACGATGGGTATTCCTCTGCTTCCATACTCAGGTCCCTGCTGGATGGCGACTGTCACAACTAACTCATGACAGCGACTGACTGGCTCGTTCTATACAAAACACGGCTGCCAACAGTTCCTCCATTGTTGTGTGACATGTATGTAAGTATGTGTAAGGGTTGGGCTATAAAATCCGGCACTTACGCTGTGACCTTCAATGATCTATTGTGCTTCCCTTTGGATTAACCCTTTATTAATCCTACGCTTCGAAAGTATGATATGTAAGTGGACTGCTGCCTAGTGATGACCTGTGTGCTTGTTCATGCATGCAGTTGTTTAGTGAGCCGTTGCCTAGCAACGGCTCTCTTCTGGCTCCATTATTTTGGCCTTTCAGTTGTCATATCATAGTATTTTCAAGATCCCAGTTTCAAAAACTTGGTGACAGATTCACTATTTCAACAAGTCCTTTATGGTGTTCTTTAGCCACTCCTGACAAATTCTGAGAAAGTATCCAAAACAGGCTACAACAACTTCCTTCTACAGCCCTTCCAATTATCACTCATGAATCATTGTATCATTTGATGCTGTATAGCTCATACAGTTGGTAAGGTTATGAGGGGGGAGTGGCTAGGGGAAGATGTCTTGAGAACTTGCCCTTCTATCAGACTCAGGCAAGTGAAACAACTCTTCTATCTTTTCAAATTTACTTTCCGTTTGAAGAGTATTATTAATGTTTGCAGGAATGTTGTTCACTTCTACCACACTACACAGTTTCACATATTAGGAGATACTACTAATCATAGTCACTGACATGAGAACCTCAAATCCATTTGGTTCCTGTTTTTACTTATTGAGACAATTTCTTGCATGTCACATACCTAACACATCTATATAGCTTCAGCTATTAACATTTGTCATTATATAAATTTAAGAAAAGATTCCAAACCTGGTATAATGTAAACATCAGTCTCTGAGGCGCCCACTGACTGATAAAGGAGCCATAGAAGCAAGAAATTGCCTTCCCACATGAATGTGTTAAAAGGAAAAGCATCAGCATCAGAGATAAAGCCATACTTACTTCTTATTTTCACGATCATATAGGAAGTTGCTAGGCTTGATATCTCGGTGAATTATGTTGAAGGAGTGAACTCTACGTAGGGCAATAAACAAATTCAGCATATAATTACGCGTCTCTGCTATGCTCATATCTTGAACATAGTCCTATAAAACAAACACAACATATCAGGCAATTTGTCACCCAGCCCTGTGCAACTCAAGTGCTGCTGCTGCTGCTGCATAAGAAATCAATATTTTAAGTCCTTGTCAAAATTCAATGCTGTATTTGCACATTAAAAATCAGATTAAAATGAAATCATAATTTAAAAGGTCCTTTCTGGAACAGTAGATTTGAACATTAAAATGAGGACAATCTTAATTCAGAACAAATTTAATGCTGGGGTTTTTGACTTGGAAATGGAAAGAAGAAAAAAAAACATTAAAGGGGCTTCAACTAAATAAGGGCTTTAAAATATTGATATGCAGAATATAAAGGCAATTAGTTTCAGTTCAAATTTAAACTGATCATAAAAACTTCGATATCAGCTGACCAAACGTAACATTAACAGCCACGATAAATGATATAATGATACAAATTCCGTCTCAAGTGCAAACAATATATTTTGTGTCTTTGATCTTGTTCCCCTACACTACATGTTTCGGCCTCAGACGGCCATCATCAGGTGTATAACACTCATGTCGCTGTCACACTGCACCCAGCTCAAAATTTAACATTTAAAAACACTTTCCTTGTTATTAGCAACTTCTACTGCGTTGATAACTGTCTGGTTTGTAGATTATTTTATTTTACACACGTTAATTTTGACTTTGTTGTAATAGCACTATAATAAAATCTTTAGTTCTAATTTTAAAAACCTTTAAAATTCTTTCCTAAATTTTAAAATTTTAAAAATGTTAGGGTTATTCGCCCTATGTTTAAAGTGCTGCAGCGGCTAGTTCTTGTTACCACACTGTATAGGTGTTATCTGTAATATACAAATATATTCGTATTATTATCTTATGTATGTGATGTTTTCTTATGTGTTTATATTGTTATTTGTACTTACCTTGTGTAGTCTTTCTGTGTGCGTGCCGCTGCTATTCTTTACTACGTGTGCTGTCTGATGTACTGTGTGCTGAGTTTTATGTTGGTGAGTGTAAGGGGGGGAATGGGTAGTGGGGAGAGAAAGGTACCATTAGTCTGTATAGATTTCGTGTATCGTTTGAAATATGGGATTGTGTGTTTCTATGTGTGTATCATTCATGTGTAGGCCTTTCTTACTTATTTTATATATATGGTATTTCTCTAATGTATTCAAATGTCTGCCCTTCTTTCCCGTTGTTATAACTTCCATTATCTCTGTTATTGTTCCGTATGCATGTCCTGTATTTAGTATGTGATTTGAGTACCCGGAATTGCTATCATTATTCCTAATATCATGTATATGTTCTTTATATCTAGTGTTAAATGTTCTGCCCGTTTGTCCAATGTATTTCAAAGGGCAATCCACACATTTCATTTGGTATATGCCACTTTTATTGTATTTGTCTAATTGTGGTTTTTGTTTGAGTATGTTTTCTATTGTGTTTCGTGTGCGGAATGCTACTTTTATCTGTGTGTCTTTGAAAAGTTTTGTAATTTTTCTCACCTCTTTTGTACTATATGTAAATATGACCCACTTTGTTTTATGTTGTTGTTCATTGTCATGTGTGTTTGATTTTTGTTTTCGTGTTGTATAATATTATTAACAGCCACCTACACCTGCACCTCCGTGGAACAGAACCCTTCTTAAGAATAAATGATACAAACTCCGTCCCAAGCGCAAACAATATATATTATATGTCTTTGATCTTGCTCTCTTATACACTACATGTTTCGGCCTCTAACGGCCATCATCAGGTGTATACTCTTACGTTGCTGCCACACTGAACCCAGTCTAAAATTTAACATTTATAAAACACATTGTTATTTTCTTCGTTATTATCAACATCTACCTCGTTGATATCTGTTTGGTATGTAGGTTATTTTGCACACGTCAATTTTGATTTTCCTGTAGTAGCACTATAAAATCTTTAGTTATAATTTTAAAATCCTTTAAAATTTTCTCTAAATTTTAAATTTTCCTGTAGTAGCACTATAAAATTTTAAAGGATTTTAAAATTATAACTAAAGATTTTATAGTGCTACTACAGGAAAATCAAAATTGACATGTGCAAAATAATCTACATACCAGACAGATATCAACGAGGTAGATGTTGATAATAATGAAGAAAATAACAATGTGTTTTATAAATGTTAAATTTTAGACTGGGTTCAGTGTGGCAGCAACGTAAGAGTATACACCTGATGATGGCCGTTAGAGGCCGAAACATGTAGTGTATAAGAGAGCAAGATCAAACACATATAATATATATTGTTTGCACTTGGGATGGAGTTTGTATCATTTATCGTGTAGAGTGCAACAGGATGCTTAAATATAATATTGTAAACCTTCTTAAGAAGCTAACAGCCATTCACCCACATGAGAAAGTCTCTGAATTTTATAGAACCAGCAAGCAAAATATTGTGCTTCCAACAGCCCACCACAGATCCCTATCCTGAGCCATAACAACCCACTCAAAACTCTGCCACCCTATTTCTTTAATTCTATAACCACAACTTCAAAGTCCCCTGTGTCCTTTCAGTAATTCCAACTAAAACTGTATGTAAATTTCTCATCTCTACAGATATGCTACATGTACTGCCCATCTCATTCTCCTTCATTTTATCAACCAAGTAATGTTCAGTGAAGACAGAATTTATGAAAATCCTCCCCAAGCGGTTTGCTCCAGGTTCCTGTTACTTTCTTCCTCCTTGGTCCAAATATTCTCTTAAGAACCTTGTACTCATACACATAAAATCTAATTTTTTTTAATGCTAGTGGGGTGGGACTAAGTCCCTTGTACTGCGGCCACTTCTGGCCTATTGTACCAGCCCCAGATGATATTTCCTCCTTAGTCAAAATATTCTCTTAAGAACCTTGTACTCACACACACAAAATCTAATTTTTTTTAATGCTAGTGGGGTGGGACTAAGTCCCTTGTACTGCGGCCACTTCTGGCCTATTGTACCAGCCCCAGATGATAGGTGAGAGTAATTGTGGAGCAATTGGTGGAATGAAGAATGGCAGGGGAAACCGAAGTACTCAGAGAAAACCTGCCCCACCACAAATCCCACTTGACCAGACCTGGTATCAAACCCGGGCCACCGCGGTGGGAAGCCAGCGACTAACCACTTGAGCTATGGTATGGCCTTCACACAAAATCTATATTCCTCCCTTGGTTTCTGAATTTAAAACTTTTTAAGTTACCCTTCAAATAACCTTCAAACTCCAGCCAAAATGATAACAGCCTCTATAAAGTCTTACAAACGACTGCACTCTACACATGGAAACAGAATTCTGCAATAGGGAAAGAAATTATAGAATTTATATAGCTGTAAAAACTTACACTGAACCTCTTGTGAGGGAGATATGGCATGATGAACACCACACAGTCATCCTGGCGCAAACATAAGTCAATACCAATCACATTGTCTGAGCCTCTGGAACACAGGTCACGCAACAGAAGATTATAAACTATGTGTCAGGAATATAAGTAATTCTTAGGCATATTTTCTTTCAAATACTTACACCTATTTACACATGGATTCATAAATTAACAATTATACATCTATTAAACCATTTTTGTGCATAATTTCCATTAGTACAGATATCACTACTATAACATCATCAGATAAACCTCAAAAGTAATGTTATATTTTAGCGTCCTGTTGCACTGATTTATGTCCATGATTTATTCCAGCCGTCTTACAGTCCATACACTCATCCACCTCACTCTTCAATCCTGCACTACATGTTTCGGCACAAAGGTGCCATCTTCAGGTGCTTTTCGATTTATGTTAAACTACTTCACTGCATGCCTTGCCGTCTTCATACTAAAATAACTAAAATATATGTTCATCATATGTATCGATAAATATTAAATATTAAAAATATTGCTCCTGTGACTGCGTGTGTTATGTATAACACACGCAGTCACAGAAGCAAGACACAACACAAAGCACAATACACACACGAAAGTAGGAAGAGTGCTCCAATAGAAGAGGATAGGTGTGACTCGCGTATTGAGATGCGACGTAGGGATAAAAAATCCTGAACAGTTTTAATATTTTTAATATTTAATATTTATCAATATATATGATGAACATATATTTTAGTTATTATAGTATGAAGACGGCAAGGCATGCAGTGAAGTAGTTTAACATAAATTGAAAAGCACCAGAAGATGGCACCTTTGTGCTGAAACATGTAGTAAAGGAGTGAAGAGTGAGGTGGATGAGTGTATGCACTGTAAGATGGCTGGAATAAATTATGGAAACCTCAAAAGCTTTATACCATTGCCATATTTCTAATTTTTAAGATATTAAAAAATTGTATACATCAAATGTGGGAGCACATGGTAGCGTAGTTGGTTGAGGCACTATGCTACAAGCCAGACCATAGGTTCAATTCCTGATGATGTCACTGGGTTTTTCAATTTACCCAATCCCTCCAGCCACACTACGGTCCTTGGGTCAACTCAGCATCTAACAGAAATGAGCACCAGAAATCTTCCTGGGGGTAAAGGGTGGTCAGTGCATAAGGTTGACAAACTTACCACCATCTGTGAGCAGACTGTCTAGAAAATGTGAAACCTCGACATCTCACAAACCTACTGGCCTCCAAGACCTGTTACAAGGATAGGTTTACCTTTTCATTGACTGTTCATTGACTGTGTAAGCATGTCTATAATTTATCTCATATCAGATTCCATGTGCCCAGCTGCAACAGTTCACTGAGTACTGTCATCAAACAAACTTAAATATGAATTTCATTCAGTTTCGGTATTAGTTCTTGTTTTATATTCTACAGGGGGAAAAAGATATCAATAGAAGTAAACATTTTTTTAGAGATCCATTACCACACAAAATGTGTGATTCTCGCATTAAATGTAACAAGACAATTTTCAACTTATAACCAAGCATATTAAAATTACAACTAACCTCAAAATTTTCAAGCAAGAATACATATGAAATATTCAAATGGGCTAGAACAAGAATACACACTTGTTTCAGGTGCTTGGAAATTCCTGTTTGTGATTTGTAAAGTTATGTCTTAGAATTCTGGTCATTCAAAGTTATTTAATTTTATTGTTGTATCTGTTCAATTAGGGTCATATATCACATACTGTGAAAAACTAGTGAAAACCACACGATGCTTGAGGGAACAACACACAAGCAAGGGGCATATTGCAGATCACAGATGTAGCTGCTAAAACAAACTGTCTGGAATACACGCATCACATAGCTTTAATCAAGTGGAAGACGCCCCTTACAAGGTGGAATTTGACTTCACGAAAGTTTTTAATAGAAAAATGTTAATGAATTTTAAGTAATTATTCATCTAATTTAAAGTGGACTGCAACACACAATTTTAGCGCGCATCAAAGCAGTGTAACAGTTTAGACGCATCAAAACACCTGAGGATGGTCGTCTGTTGCCGAAACATGTTGTGTTAGTGATAAACAGTGAATATTTTAATGATTGTTGCATTACTGACGGACTAAATATATAGACATTGAATTAAAGATGTGCAACACGATGCTGAAATACAAAAACCACTTCTAGATAGATTATCAATTCACCACATGTTCTTAGCCCTTTGCATCATGATGTAAATTAATGGGAGGTAAAGACCATACATAAATTTGACAATAACACTTTTGCTGCCAAAACAAAAACTCATTGTTTTATAACTTTGTACATCTGATTTTTATTACTGAATAATATTTAAACGTTTCACACTCAAATGCTCATAGGTACTCTGTCTTTAAATACAATGTAATCCTACTACTGATGATGGCACTTGTAGCAACTATTTTGAAAACTATGTGCCTGTACAAGAGTTTTGTGCTCTTTGGATGATTTAGTGATTCAGACAAATGAGGTTTTCAGAGTAAGTATGCTGTGAGTATGAAAAGGCTGAACAAGTTCAAGCAGTGATGTGCCATTATTACTTACCCTATATCCTGCAAGCACTGCAGCTCCCGTTCAGTACGTGATGGTAAAGATGTTGGTACCAGATGTTTGATGGCAAACTGACGAGGAATATGCTTACTATTTGGATCTAAATTCCTAAGCGTACCAAGGAACACTGAGCTAAATGTGCCCTCTCCTACTTTCCGATGCACATGGAACTGTTCTGCTAGTACAGGCAATTTTGTCATAAGATATTGTATGTGATACTGATCCCCTGCCAAATAAAGCAAGCAATAAATTAGTTACAAGGCCCTTAAATAAATAACAATTCTGCACTTATGCTGTATTATGACTGAACTTCAGTTAGTCTGACATTTGGTTTCATAAATCCAGACTTGTAGCTGTTATATATTTAAAACACATTGTATATGAAAATCTTACGCTCATCTTTAGCATTCTTTTCTGTAGTTTCCTCTGCATATAACACATTAGTTCGAGGTGTGCGTTCCGCTGATTCCACCCAAGACTGTTCTGGAATAGGCCCAACATTGCCCTGTGATTTATTGCAGAAATCATCACCGCCTTCTCGGGCTGTTTCGCTACCTTTAGATGGTAATTCGCGGGTAGTAGAGGTGTAGAAATTATTGAATTCTGCATGAGATGCTGTGCCCAGAACTTCCATTTTGTCACATTATCAAAGTCTGTGAAGAGAATAAACGTTTGTTTGAAATAACACATTTCTGCTACACACACTATTTGAAATTTTACACAAAATTGAGTATTTAAATGGTAGTATGGCTGAGTTTGTATTTTAAGAGTGATCTTCGATGTTAATGGTTAATTTATAAATAAGAATCTTACCTGCAGATTAAATGAGTCGACTGAATGAATAGCATTTTGGCAATCTGAATTTTCAGCATCTATCTTTTTTGTTTACGTATTCTAAATAGACCCGCGTATACGCCTATTGCCAACATACTATTACGGATTCAAATATACTCATCCGTCCCCGTCCAACATACTCGATCCAGTAATACTTTTGTGTCTTTCAAAAGGCATATGATATATAAAATTAGTTTGTTACATTATAATTCACAAGTAAATTTCTTATGTTATGCAATCTGACTAAACAAACCGTCCGAAAACAATACTGACGCCAGCAATGGCGTGATAACAGGGAAATGTGCTTCCGTTAGATGGACCCTCGTACACATCGTCCACAATGTATTTACAAATCTACCGCTTGGTGACTCTGCTGGCGTCATGTAGAATTGTGTTGTAAGAATGTTTCACTTTCAGAAATAGTTCTCCGTAATTATTAAGTACAAACTTCCTTTATTGTTTCAAACCTCAAGATATATATATATATATATAATTTAAATGACATGGAATTAACTCGCCAGAATTATCACGGTATATCCCTTAAATTTGTACACATACTAAGTATTTATGCATGTCGTAATACAGTATGTACGTATACGTATGCATGTACTACGTACTGTATATGTACATAGGAACATTGGGCCATATATATAGTCTGCTAAAAACTATAAGAATTTGAAGGGGAATTAAAAAATAGGTTATACTCCTGAGAACAACTGAAAGGTGTTCACAAATTATTTCAGTGTGACTAAAACATGAAATTATATACTCAATTTAGAATAGAAAAAAGCCGTTTATTTATTATGAATAGATTTGTTTAGGCAGTTCATTAACTCCAGTAAATAATTTCTTTTCAAAGACATTGAATGTTACTTGTCGAGAACGGGAGGCCAATAAGGAAGAGCGTGTAACCTTGAAAAAACTCCGGGAATAAACGATAATAATGGCGACAGAAGCCTATTACTTTGACCGATCTGTTTAAGGCACGAATTGTCTTCTCCCACTCAAATATTTGGGTCGTTGGTTCGAATCCCATTCGAGGCATGTACGTTTCTTCTGCATTTGTGTTGCCTTGAGCATGCAGCGGCTTTGCGGCGGGCTGATCCGTCCCCCCAAGGAGTAGGGACTGTCTGTATGATTCAGAAACTGTAAAACAGAGTCAAAGGTTCATCATGGACACTATCACCCACAGATTATTATTACCAATGACAACAGAATATATTATGAGAGTAAATATATCATGTGCGTACTGTTGATTTCTTGTGGATCTATACATCCACTCCCCCATACTCCTTCATGGCGTAGTGCTTAATTAGTTAAGTAGAGGGAAAACTTTACCTTATCTTACTGTTGATTTGTTATTGAATTTGATTCTTAACGGACAAACCTCTACACCACACTCACCATATATCAGTCAGGAAGGCCACTGAACTCCGTAATCAATGTAATATAATTAACAGTTCCATTTTTGTTGATTATTTCACGACACTATCTATAGTGTCAAATGACAGGATTATTGATGAATTGGCAAGGATTTGGAAGGATCGAATCGTGGTCTAATCGATGTACTATCCTGGAAATTGCTTGAAGAGAATGAGAAGAAACACGGAGAACTTCAGTCAGAAGAGCCAAAGTCACCCGAAATTCGAACCTAGTACCTTCTGAACACAAGTTTAGAGCACCAACTTTGCCCCACCCAAAGCAGTTACTTGTTAATGTATTGTGTTATATATCTCACCAAATAGTTGGAATAAAAGTCAAGCATTTATGCTATATATATTTATTCAAGTGTTTCTATAATTTTAGAGAATATTGGATATGTTTTTATTTTAATCTTATAGAAATTGGTGATTAGACCTATACAGATCAAATGGATTAAGCAGTGTTCATGTGGATATCTCAGTATCTGCTTTATTCGAAATCTGTCCATCACTCGTAAAGATGAAAAACTGCGACAATATTCTCACCATTAAAGTAAAGCTATCCCTGTAATAGGCCGTGAAGGCCCATAGGGTTGTGAGACATTGAGGGTCCCACATTATCTAGACAATCGGCTCAAAGATGACGGTAAAGTTGTCAGCCTTACGCGCCGGCCGCACTTTACTCCCCAGGAAAATTATTTAATTAATTCCTGGTACTCATTTCTGTTAGAGACTGAATCGACCCCAGGGCCATAGTGCGGCCGGAAGGGTTAGGTCAATTGAAAAAATCCAATAACCTCATCGGGACTTGAACCCGCGACCTCCCGGCTTGTAGCATATATTCTCAATTAGTTTCATGCGAAGGAGGCAAGAAAACGATTTGATAACAGATATATCGAATTTTGCCTGTCGTCGACTGCGGAGTTCTTTATGGGTTGAAAGAATATCAAAATATGTTACTGCTGCATGGTGAAACAGCCAGTCACATATGCGATGCTTTTTACTGAGACTCGTAACACTTGTCGCCGTACATCTCATGTTCAGGTGCTGGAACCACCTTGAATCACTCCCGAAAGCCCACATGATAAACCGCAGTAAATAAACGAAACGTGTGCTTGTCTGATAAAAGTTTTGGAAGTTCCACTGGGCATCACAGTCTCCAGGTAGTAATTGAGGGCAGTTCCTGTGTTTTGTGACGGAAATCGTTGACCTGATATGACGTCAAATCAATATAAAGGCGGTACTTGCACAAACGGCAGGGCAAGGTAAAAACATGCGTAAATACGGGAGCAGAACAGGGCGACATTCAGTTCACGGGACAGTATCATGATGACGAACCTCGGGCGGCTGCTCCAAGTTCCCATTGACTTCAGAAAGAAGTCTTCTCAGAGTAACAAATCTGTGGCAAGCGTCAATTCTAACTTTCATTCAGCTACAAAGGTAACTGGCGAGACTTCGTCCTATTCTGTTTTCCACGTTTGTGTACGTGTGTTTGTGTGGACGCATATGTGTGTATTTATGCGGTACTTGTCTTAAAGAAAAATGTGTTTTCCAGTTACATTTCAGCCTTAGAGTAGAAAGTGCAAAAATTGCCACTAACTTCGCCGACAAGCGGCTGTCGCTCGGTCGGTATAGTTCGCTTGCGGACTACAGGCCACGGAGTTTTGTTTGTCGAAACATACCGGCAGATACGCGATTTTTGACAAGCTCCTCGGTACATATTGATTATTTGCTCCTATAAGTATCAGGGCGCAGGGATAAAAAAAAAGAGAGACTGTTGTATGTATGTGCACGCAAGCAGACCGAACTAGAAATCTATCCGAAGCGTAAACTTGCTTAACAACTAACAAATTTATGGGGCACATATTTCTTTGTTTATTTTACAATTCTGTCAGTATCTAGGATATGCTAGGATTTGGAATAAAGCAGTCGTGACCTAGTCGCGTTACTATTCCATAATTTCTCTGCCCGGGGGAGCTGCGGAAAATCACAGAAATTCTCAGTCGAGATAGCCGATGTCAAAGCCGAGATTCGAAGCGAACATCTCCCGAATACGAATATAGAACGTTATCGCTAGACTGGGGGTAGGACGCAATGATAACGGCCTAGCTCTGTAAAAAAATTACTGTTGCGAAATCCAGAGAAGTGGAAACTGGCTGGAGTCTGGCATAATCTTGTAACGGAGGCTATGGCTCAAAAAAGGGTTGTTTTGCCGACGACGACG